TTTAGAACTGTTCCTCATATTTTCCTTCTTAAATCTCATACATACCATACCTTACAAGCTTCCCCTTTTGCTTAGCTCTCCTAGATGACAGAATTTTTAAGGACACTGTTTTATGAACACAACTGGTATCTGTATCCCTTATAACAAATAATACTCAGGAGAGAGATTTCTGCAGTGGTCATGCAGGAACAGCAGAATTTAGATTCGTTGCTGATGGGAAACTGCTGTAATCCCTTCACAAAATATAACGATATACAGTGCTCATCCTACGAGCAGGGTGTTCTATACCAACACACGTATCTTTATGTGAAATACAAAATCATTAGTCAGTTCAACACTCATGCAAATCACCAGACCTTTCTCCAAAATGGGCACTGTGTAGCCAGTGCCAGTGTGGGGTCTGCTGCTTCTTTGCCCCAGTGAGCCTTATGCAGAACGTGGTGGATGCTATCACCTCACTGATGCATCAAATATGTGGGGCCTCGCTTGTGACCCTGACTACAGGCGACTTCATGTCTCTGTGCCCCTGAGAAATTATGTGCCAGAGTGCTGGGCTCCTGTTGTGAATTCCCAGGGAGAAGCACCCACGGAGGGTTAAGGAAGGTTTCTGGGCAGGAGCTGCGCTAATTCCTGCTCTCATTTCCACCAGAATAAACCCAGAACTGTGTGACAGAAGCAGAGAAGCACATCGGCGCCGTAAACCCAACGTAACAGAGATCCTTTTGCGTCTGCACACAGCAGCACCTTCCTTGTGGACATGGGCACATACCGCCTGGGAAGGATTTGGCCCAGAGCTTGTGGAGTTTGTCCTCATTCCCCCTCTAGACGAGCTCTCCTTGTAATTCCAGAAACGTAGTTCAGTAGCTCAGCACAGCTTGGCTGATGACGAGAGGACACAGAGCAACTTTGGAAACACAAACTGGCACGGGGAGAGAGTCTTTTTGGCTTTGAAAGGACAGCGCACATGTTCGGAGCCAGAATGTGTAAAGACTTTTGTTCACAAACAGAAATCCCTTGTGCTGACAGGCTCCGAACAAGGCTGACGCTCTTGTGAATGCAATATGAAAGTTGCCTTGTATCGGGATTAGTCGAGTGAAGAGTTTGCAGCAAGTAATTGACTCGGAAAATTTAGTGGGAGACGGATGGTCCTCCAATGTTAAGAAAAAACAGAAAACAAAGTAAACTGAATACTCTTCTGTTTTGACTTCATTCTCTCTTTAAAATCACCTAGCAAACATTTCAGGAGCACATGTCTAAGGGTGGCTCATGGTCTGTTTGCTACAGATCATTAGTTAAGGTGTTATACTCAGTCTATAGGGTGCCCATATTCATGGCTGTTGTCTAGACCTCTAGAGCAAAGAACTGACCCTTACAGCATCCCTGCGAAGTGGGGTGCTTGATTCCTCCACCATATCCACAGACAAAGGAGGTTCAGACCCTCATCACCCAAGTCACACAGGGAGACTACAGCCAAGCTGGTCATGTTGTGCCCTAACGAGTAGTGTCAGAGCCACATATTTTTCTGCCAAAACTGTTATCTTCCTCATAGAGCATTCTTCATTATCAGACATGAAAAGGAAGTGTTCACATGGACATTCTCCTGGACTCATCTCTCCTATCTGAGAAGGGATGGGCTGTGCTCTGGGCAAACTGCTGTTTCCATAAACTATAGATGGAGCATAAACAGACCAAGCAACTCTGTTACATGACTTCAAGATTGTCATGGAGGGAAGAGGCTGATTCCAGATTGTGCTGAAGTTTCTGTTTCTGATCAAAAGTCCCACATTTTACAAGCTTTTTATTTTTTTCCTAATTTCTTCTCAAATTAATTTCAGACCATTTTAAAAAAACTGAATGACTTAAATGTCACTTTTTTCTGTGCACTTTCATATGTTCCAACTTCTCCAGAGCAAGTATTCTCCAAAAAGGTCACAAACAGACATAATAAAATCCCTAAATTATTTCCAACACTTTCCCCTCACTTCAGGCAGATGCTGGGGCTTGATGCTGCACCACTGCTGTTTATTTCACTGAAATGCTTTAGTTCCTATGCACTCTCTTTGTTAATTATCTTGAATTGAGCTAATTATTACTAGTTATCACTGGATAAGTTTATATACATACTATAACTAACCCTCAGAACTGAAGAGCACTGAGCTAAGCATAAAAATTAATGGGTTAAAAATTAGTGCCAAGGAAAGCAGTGGGTTCATAAGATAAAAGTCCATTTGTTTGGGACTAACACTCTTATGTGGTGCCCCTTGCATGGGCCAAGCTCTATGTATGCTACCGTCAGCTGGCTGGGACTGAGGATTTAGGGGCTTTCCTGGGAGTCTTCACACCTTGTGGACCCTTCACCCCCTGTCCCACCACTGAGGAGCTCCAGGGTGAGAGAATGGAAGCAGTTTTGTGGGAATGTCAAGAGCAGTGGCAACCACGTGAGATCCAAGCCTGAGCCCAGGGTGGAAACTTGGTGGTCTTTAATATCACAGAATTACCGACTGGTTTGGATTGAAAAGGACTTTAAGATTATCCAGTTCCAGACCTCCTTCCATGGGCAGGGACACCTCACACCATGCCACCCAAGGCTCTGTCCAGCCTGGCGTTGAACACTGCCAGGGATGGGGCATTTACCATTTCTTTGGGAAACCTGTGCTTGTGCCTCACCATCTTCACAATAAAGAACTCTACCTTCTATCCAACCTGAACTTCCCCTGTTTAAGTATGAACAAATTGCCCCTTGTCCTATTGCTACAGTCCCCGATGAAGAGTCCTTTTCCTGCTCTTTTCTCAGCCACAGCAAAGTGAAGCAGCATGCTGTTCTCCCCTTTCAGGACATGCCTCCAAACATGTCTTTTTCTCTGTTTTCCACACCTATCAAATTACTTTTTCTCTTCATGTCTTTACTCACTATCTCAGCTTGGATGGCAGACTCTAAACAAGATCACCTGAGGGTGAATAGGAAGGACCCTTCCACTGGATATGTGGGGAGGACTCACAGGCACAAGGGTCTTCCAGCAGCACTGAAAGGATTAATTGAAATGTTGAGCCAGAGCAGTAATTATTTTACCAAACAGTGAAGCGCTATTCAGCCCTCTCTTCTTACCTGCTACTGCTGCAATCAAGGCCAAATGGAGCTAGGATATAAAATTACTGCTGCAGGTCACTGATACTCTACATTTTAAAGGCAATTAAAACAGAGAACTGCCCATGATTACCATGTAAGAAAGAGGGTTTTCATTAAAGAAATGAGTGTAATGCTCTAAAACTCTACTACTGCTTCCCAGCAAAATAAAACATACAAGACTGGACTTAATTCTGACTTCCCAGAATGAATCCATTCACTTGGGGAGAATTTCTCTAAATTTACCCTGAGATCAGAATCAGACCTGTGCAAGGAACGATGTAAGAGACACTTTTTCTTTGCTTCGCTTTACTTTCCTGTGAGCGCATTTTTACCTCTTTCTATTTGCAGTTCAAATACAGGGAAAATAATAAACGTCCCAAAGAAGAAACTAAAGTGGGGTGGAGAGCAGGAAGTGAAAATACTCCAGTCTTCGTGTTTATTCTTGCCATAGGAGTAAATAGGGCTTGGTTCAGTGCACAGCTCTGTCACAGCATGTTATGTTTGCTTCTCCTTATGCTGGTGAAGCTTCACCAACTGCCATGAAATCATCACTACAGTGAGTAAAGAGGAACTGGCTGATGCTCAGAGTGGACAGCAGCTATTTCCTTCCAGCTTTCAGAAATTGGAACTGCTGAATGATCTCCTTTCTCAGACCTGTACAAGATAGTCATCACCTTTATGCTAACACTGAAGGGCCCTACACTTTTATCACTATGAATCTGCTCCATCAAATTCATGGCGGCAATGCATGTTTCCCCCCACCTGCAAATGCACACTGCATTTGCTTTACCTCCCATCTCCATACATCATTGTTCCTTAATCCACTTTGCACTTCCAAAAACATTCAACCACCTTTGCTGAAATTTTCCATGTTTCATTTCTGACCAAAGGTGAGCTTGGATTTTTTAAAAAGCTAGAGGAATATTTCATTTGCTGCTTGTGAACTGAAATAAGCACCAAGCAAAAGAAACGGTTCCCCCACTTTGAGAGGGCTTCTGGCCACAACTCATTATGGAGTGCAACAACAACCATTCAACATAAGGGAGTTGCACATAAACCTTATGAAGGTCTCACCCCACCACTCATTAGACAATAAAGAGCTACACCTGGACTTGCACAAGCAATGGCAGCTTGGAAAAAAAACAGTGCAGCAGGTTTCTTTACTTATCCAACCCAAATCCTATTGAAACCTGCAGGCATCCTTCCATTGATCTAACAACAACTCAACTGGATCTCAACATCAGGAATAACATGGTATAAAATGCAGGGCTGCTGTTTGATCATTGTCTGTTTGTGGCTAGCTGGATACCTACTAGCCCAAAGAGGCTGTGAGCTCCCTGCATACCCCTCTGCCTATATCCCTATATGCTTGTCTGTCTCCCTGTATCCTTGCATACCCCTTTGCCCTATATCCAACATTTTTTTTCCCTGAAACAAGTATTTTGTCCTAACAGCTGTTCTGGTTCTGGTCTGGATAACCAAAAATAACCCTCTACCTCTGAACAGAAGAGATGGATGGTAATTTTCTACGTTTCCTAACCAACAGAGAGCTAGTTAGTCTCTATGAGAACCGAGTGATTTTCATTGAAAGAAGAGGGGGGACTATTCCATTACTGAAGGGATATTGAAAGTTTGGTCTTTTTTTGCTATGAATAAAAGTGAAGCCGCAGACATCGCCCACATCTAATAATGGAAAGCTCTCTTGAATAACCCTGCTTTGGAAATTGTGAGGCAGAGCAACCTTTCCTGCTACTTCATTTTCATTATTTTTCTTTTTATTCCCTTTTTCTTTCTGCCCATTGCAATCTTATCCCTAAGCATTTTTTTTTAATGCTTCCTCTCTGTGCTAATGCTATAGTGGTTTCTGACTTACCAGTACAGAGTAATGTTGTTCAGCCCTCAGAAGGAGCTCTCTGGGGTAGGACTGGAACATGTTAGGGAAGTTTGTTATGGCCTCTGTCTTGGCTGACACACTGGGATTGAAGTAGGTGCCTCCAGAGCTAAAAGCCCAGGTTGTTGCAGGCTGAGGTTCAGAGCCAGGCTGCGTAGCTGGGAGCTGTAACAACTCCTATGCTCTGTGGATTAACACAGAGGGGAACTTGTGAGTGGTGCATGTGATATCTGTTTGGGAGGTAAACAGAGGATTTCAGTCTCCTGGGCTGTCAAACCGGCTCCTTTGACAAGCTCTAAATTCACTTAAAGCCATGTAATTCGAACTTGCTGTGGGGTCCAAGTCTACTTCACCCTTGATACTGTATAAATAGGCCCATTAAGGTTTAGCCAAGTTTTGTGTGGCTTGTTCCTAAACAGTCACCATGATATCTCCTTTGGAGAGATAAGCACTGCTTTGCCAGAGCACAATAGGGGCTGCCCACAGGGTGTGAATCCATGACTTCAAAATCATGGGGAGGGGAGAAGTACAAAACCAAATTGTTCTCTAAAGGTGCTGTTAAACTTTAGAAGCTTGTGTATATTTTCCCAGTAGGGACCTTGTATGCTGAGCTGTGACTTTGTCAGCATTTGAATCATAAACACAGTCTTGCAGGGCCTTTATAAATAAGACATAAAATTTTACCATAGGATGCAACTTTGGACACAACTCCTCAGCTAATGGAGAAATGTAAAACTCATCTACATACCTCAGAGTGCCAGGATGTTTCTGTCTTACTGGACAGAAAATTACACACAGAGAAACATCACATTGCACTGACTTTTGATTAGATGTTTGAGGGTGTTTTTGGTAAAGCTGTAGCGGTTCAAAAAGGCAGTCTTGGATATCAGATTGTTCTCACTATTCTCTGAACCAGAATCAGATACCATTTTATAATCATATAAACTAAAGGAAGCATTCCATAAATCACTGTGTATGAGTCTCAAAGAGGATGATTTGACAAATCTGTTCCAAACTGCAAGAAGAAGCACAAGCTGGACACTCTTGGCTAATAGTTTCTGCAACAAATATATCTTTTTTATTTGAACCATACCAACTGCTTCAAACACAACATTTATGCCTATCTTAAAGATTGGGGAATCTTTAAGATTCTCTTGTGGCATCACTGGGTGGGAACCCAAATTATTACCACATGTAGGAAAACTCAGATAAAGAGAGAGAAATTAGGAAGCTTAGTCCATAGATGTCGACTGAAGTCACAGGGAAACATCTGAACCTCCCATATGAAGACAGGCTGAGAAAGTTGAGGGTGTTCAGCCTGGAGAAGAGAAGGCTGCGTGGAGACCTCAGAGCAGCCTTCCAGTATCTGAAGGGGGCTATGATGGTGCTGGGGAGGGACTCTTCATTAGGTACTGTAGTGACAGGACAAGGGGTAATGGGTTAAAACTTAAACAGGGGAAGTTTAGATTGAATATAAGGAGGAAATTCTTTCCTGTTAGGGTGGTGAGGCACTGGAATGGGTTGCCCAGGGAAGTTGTGAATGCTCCATCCCTGGCAGTGTTCAAGGCCAGCTTGGACGAGGCCTTGGGTGATATGGTTTAGAGTGAGGTGTCCCTGCCCATGGCAGAGGGGTTGGAACTAGATAATCTTAAGGTCCTTTCCAACCCTAACTGTTCTATGATTCCATGATTCTATATGGTTGCAAAGGCACAGTGTTCAGGTGAGTTGCTATTTTCAAACCTCTTAAAAGAGAGTATAGTTAAGAAAAGATAGTGCTGAGAAATTGCACAGGTAAGAATTCACTGCTGGTCTTCCTTGTCCCCAGTGTGATAAAGTAGAACACAAAGAGAACATGCACACAATTGGACAGGGTGAGAGCACTCATGAGAGTCCTGGAGGTAGCCAAACCACAGAGCCCCAAGCCTCTGAGGAGGACCATGGACCCATGCTTTTCTGTGCTTACAGCCCCTTGGTTAGAACAAAGATCTGGCAGTTTAGACACGACTGTCTTAAAGCATAGGAAGCTAAAGTAAAGTCTTATTGCCTCAGACTCTTCCTGATCCAAAGAGGGTTGGCGAGGTTGTGTTACAGCTATCTGCTATAACTGGTAATATTTGCTTTACCAGTTTTTTGCCTTACATCATCTGTATGTCCGTATGGCATATAACAAGTTGCAGTAATGGGTTAATCCTCTCTCTTTTTGCTCATATTATCCTTTGAAGGGCTATACTTGTGGTAGGCTGAGTACAGAGTTGTTTGGATGTTACATCGCCACTGTTAAGGCCAAGGAAAGGCTCCCACTGGTTGCTGTGGGGCTGAACCCATCTCCGTCTGTGCAAGAAGAAAGCCTAGAAATACAGCAAGGGGGCATCCCTGAGCCCCTGGAGCTGGCTTCAGTCCCAAATCCCACTTCTGTAGTCCACCCTTAACTCCCCGAGCCTTTGCAGCTTTCCAAGTCCCTCATTGCTCCACTCTCCTTCAGGTTTTCTGAGTGCTCCTGCACACAAACCTCCTTCATCACTCCCCAGTGTTTTAGCGCAGCAGTATCTCTTAGCACTGTGAGCCAGATGGAAGGAATGCCATCATTATGGCTGGAAAGGAGACAACATCACACTGCAAAGCAAGCAGACATCTCAGCACCCAAGCCTCTGGTTGCAAGCCTGAAGGAAGGGGTGTCAAGGTGTGTCTCTGCTTCGCTTCAGTGCATTTGTGAGCCTTCTTTAACCCCTTGATGTTGCTTTAACGTTTTGTTGTATGCCTGCTGCTCTGCCCATTACCTAAGCTTCCTACTCTTCAACGTCTCAGGTTTTAAGCCTTCCATGTGGAAAGGACTATTTGTCTTACACCGAGTGAGACTTCAGGGAAAGTGAATGAACAGAAGAGAGCACTTAGAGCCCAGACGTTGAAAGGCTCCTTACACAAACCACAAAAGAACTTTTCTCCTCATCAGTGTTTTTGGGAGACAAAAGAAAACACATTTTCTGAAGTGTTCCTTGGAGATATTTTGTTTTGAAGTGGTTAAAGAATTTCAAATGTGAGATAAGGGGAGACACTGGCATAGAGCGAGGATAACAGCTTGCTCCTCTAAGGGCTAGGATTAAATTGCAGGGAATGCTGGCACTCAGCCCAAGCTCAGCTTCCCCAGCCCGACACTTGCTTAAAAAGGTAGAACTTGAAACATGTGCTTTGCACTCTCTTCTTATCATCGCCCTCCCGGCTTTAACCATTGTTCATGTGCTCTGGCATTCACAAAGCCTGCATCTAGGTTTTGCTCAAGACAGCGTTGATAAGCCAGATGATGAATGTGGAAAACTCCTCCCTGAGAGTGTTTGACTGGGGCTGTGATTGAAATTGCTGGCAAAGGACTCTGCTGTTGTTTTTTGTTGTGCCCAAATTTGAGCAGCCCTGTTTTGCAGAGGACTGCACGCTGCGAAGCAGAGACGCTCCGCTTGCAGGTGACTCATTATCAGGTTGACAATGCTTAATACTGGATTATGTCAGCTCTGTTTTGACACAACACAACTCAAAATCTGTTCCAGTTCCCACTCTCTCCTTACCTGCTGTTGCTCTTTTTTTCAATAGCAAAGACTTGCTTGCGGACAGTTGAAACTTAACGTTATGCGCGCCAGAAACTCTGTGCAAATCACTCACAAAGTCCTCCCTTCTCAGTCTGCAGGCATTGCTGACAGGTATGAGATGTTTCACCTGTGTAACCCTTAACACATGTGTTCTCATAGCAAATGGGTGAGTGGGAATTTCCATGTACTCTAAGTCAGTGTGGAGTCATAGATTAGTCAGCTCTGTGAATCAGAAAATACAGCAAGGCCCTTTTTGTGTGCTGAGAGTGTTAAGACCTGTGTTTGCCTACATTCATTTATCATGGCTCGGTACGTTCAAAAATGTTGTTGTTCTTCATTAACTCTTTCATCTGTAAAAGGCCAGAATCTTCATGCTGCCTTTGCTGCTGCATTCCTGGGTCTCCCAGGTTAACTGATTAATGAAGTGGAGCTGCTGGTATCTGTGGAAAAGAGGGCATCTTGATTTAATGTAGATACCACAGTGATGGTCACTGGGGGTCAGAGGTAAACACAAGAGCCTGGTATACATAAAGAAAGAGACAGTGCCCTGAAAGCCTAAATAGCAAGACAGAGTAGCATTTTACTCTTTCAAGTAAGGGAGGGGGTGAGAGTTGATGGAAATTACACAGTTACTTGCCTAAGATCATGCAAGGGGGTAGTGGGACATCTAAAACCCCAGGTCTTAGCCACAAAGAAATCAACTTGCAATTTTAAGTGGATATGTCCTGTTAGGTACATGAGCTATGTGTACACCATTGTCTTATTTGTTCACTTCTGGTAAGAAATGATGAACAGTCCCATCTCTAATCAGGCAGAACGCAGGGATGCACATTAAGCTGCGAAGCTCCCCAGCTGGCTGCTAAACCCAGCTGCTCTAAGCAGGTAAACTTTGTGCTGCTCTTTCTCTCATTCTCCAAGAGCAATTTTGGCATGCCCTAGCCTGTCTGGGTTACAGGTGTTTCAATGTTCATAACTCTGCTTCGTCCCATCACAAGGTCAGGTCCCAAATCCAGCATATGTAAGCACAGTTACAGTGCATGGGTTAGATTTTCCCAAGGGATAAAAGAGACTGAAAGCTCACTTCCCAGTTAGGGTGTCAGAATATACTGGGGCTGGACTGGGGAAACAGATGCCCTTTAAAAATACAGAACCATCAGCTGAACCTTGATCTTCCCGTGGTTTGGAAGGAGGCTGCTATATGTTTTGAGTCAGTTTCATCTGTTTAAGAATTTTTGGAGACAAAATATGGTTTTAGCCTATGCATCATAACTAGTTGTATCATAGAGTTTGGCCTGTGTTGTCTCTGACATATTGTATACATGCAGCTTTATTTAAGTAACAGCTGGGATATATACACATATGTCATCTATCAAACATTGGAGAGGGAAATGCATGAGCTGGTACATTCTTGTATACTCGCTGTCATCACATTCATGTAGAAAGAATTAATGCTCACAGAAAAAAACTTGCTCCATCTGACCATGGAAATCTTCTTCCTTTAACCTTATGCCCTGCATGGTTGAGCAACTGTATGGAAAAGTTTAAGTAAGTGGATAGTACAAAGATCAAAAGAACTCCATCCATTATAAATTATGAGTCTCCTGCAAGTCAAAAGAAAAAAAACCTAACAGAGTCAGGTTCTGTTTGTGTTC